CCGGCCCGGAGGAGGCGCGAAGGCCGTGGCTGCTCGCAGGTGGGCGCCGGGGGCGTGGGCTGACAGGGCTGCCTGGGCTCCGCTACCCCTCCCGCAGCGCGCTCGCCCCCCTTGGAGGGTGAGGCGTCGGGAGGAGGAAGGGGGGCTTCCCTGGGCGCTGCATCCCAGCCGCCTTCACGCGTAACGGCTTGTAGCTCTCGCTGTCCTTCACTGGGCTTCTCTAGCGTCACCTCTCCACCTGCAAATCGCCATGATCAGCTCTTAGCTGGAAGAATTGACCTGTGATGGTGGAAAACCAGAGGTGATATAATTCAGCTTAACATAAAAAATAGCATAACAACAATTAGCTTTTATCTCCATATGGAATTAGGTGAAAGAAAATACCATTTTTTTACTGCACTTGCAGTACAAGAGCTACCCTATGAAACCTGACTGCAGTGTAGCAGGTGACCGGGCACCTGTATCCTTGAACACTTGTTCTGCCGGTTCTCTTGTCATTTGTTTTGTTGTTACTGTGCCAATAAATCTGACTCTCTTGCTTCCAGTCAAAATAGAACAGGAAGCCTGCCAAAAAAGTTGTCAGAGCCAGTGGACAGTCAAAAATAAATGGATTGTTCAGAGGAGATAAGGTTCTAGAAAAAAATTAAATTAGTATTTTGTTCTGTGCTCACTGTAGAGGAACTTAAGAAGATTTCTGTGCTTATACTCAGTTCTGTGAAAGATTTATCAGAGGGTATGTCTCAAGCTGCAGTGTCTGTAGAAAAGGTTATGAAACAAATAGCTGAAATAAAAAGCGCTGAACAGTTGGACTGCATGATATTCATCCAAGAGTTCTAAGAGAAGTCAAGATTTAAATAGCTGAGCTGCTTACTAATGGGTTTGTGTAACATCGCATTTAGAAGCGCTTTGATAACAGAGAATGGAAAGATAGTTAATATGCCAATTAAAAAAAAGTGGCTACAAAAGTTCTGGAGAGCTGCTGAGCAACGAGCCTGTTATCTGTACCAGGCAGGTTAATGAGAACTGTTTGAAAAGGTGAACTAGTGGGCGTGGGGAGAAAATGGTGTACTCAGAGGGCTGGCAGAGCTTTTCTAAAGAGAAGTCCTGGCCTCACACATCGTTTGGAGTCCTGCGAGGAGTCAAAGCAAAGCATGTGGACAGGAGAGATTCAGCTGATGTCGTCTACTTGGGTTTCTAAAAAGCATTCAACAAAATCTATCAGCAACAGCTTCTGAAAAAACTATGGAATAAGAGAAGTTTTCACGTGGGTAGGTGACACTGGGTTAAAGACAGGTCACTGTAAGAGAGAGCAAAAATGTTTTCTCGGTGGAAGGAGTCGATACATGAAGTTCCACGAGGATCTGAATTGGAGCCTGCAGTCTGAGAGGAACTCTAGTGAAACGTCACAATACAAAGTGGGTGGGTGATGCAATGTGATGTACATACATGTGAAGTGTTTTAAATGGGAGATAAACAATCCCAACTCCAAATATCCAGGAACAGCCTAGAAGCTGATTTATC